CGCTGGCTGCACTCTCGCTGGCCGTGCCCTGCCTCTGCTGCTATGCTCCCCTGCGCGCGTGCCACTGGGTCGCAGCACGTTGTGGCTGCGCTGGCTGTGGGGGTCGCCACGAGGAGGCTGCGCGGTGAGGACCGCCTGGCGGATCTGGCAGCAGGACCAAGGACCCAGCATTGAGGGTCCAGGATCCCAGACTCGGTTTGAACCTAAAACTCAAACCTAGGCATATCAGGAACTTGGAGCTTGAGTTTGGACTAAAAGATCCTGCACACGGAACCTGGGCCCCAAACCTAGGACTGAGTGACCCCAGACCAAGCATCATTAGGATGCCTGTTAAAAGTCCTGAGTTCTGGATTCTCCATCCATCTTCCCCACCAAGGAGATTCCCCTCTAGACTGGATCTCAGAGGGCCCCGGGGAATACACAGGTCCCAGAGAGGAACTGGCACCTCTAACTCTTGACTCTGTCCAAATGACCAACCCAGACCCCAGCCACACGTGGCACCATGAACTCTCAGATTGCAGACCCAGAATTAGTGAGGAGTTGCCATTACCTGATCTTGCAATTACTCCCAGATCTTGCAACCAGAGGACCCAGAACCACCCCAAATAGTCCCTGAATGTTCACCTAAGACTTGGTGCACCCACATCTGACACAGTCTGTAGCCCCAGGATCCCTGAGACACCAAACCCACCTGGGCTTGAGACTGATATGGTCTAGAATCACCAGACACTGGCCCAGAGCCCACCCACTCCTGAGTGCCCACAGGACCCCAAGATGTAAGTTGTCCAGGTGACTTCAGATGCTGTAAGACAGCAGACTTAAGGTGTACTGAGTCCTTGGATGTGCTCAAGCATGAGATGTTCTCTGACCAAAATGATCTCAGAAGCCCATCCCAAGCTCAGCCAGGCTCCAAATACCAGACCTCAAGATCCTCTGAGAGCTAGTTATTGAAGGCCTTCATACACCCTACTCACCATAAACCAGTGTTCTTGAGAGTGTTGGTTCTCATATATGGATTTTGAGATGCCTGTTAAGCCAGCTGTATAACAGAAGGCCACTAGCACCTCACGCCCAAGACACTGGTCTCCAGTCCTCAAATAGCCCTCTTTCAGTCCTCTTGGAGCTGGATTTTGAGAGCCAATGTGTCCTGGAATCAATCTCTGGCTTCCTTCCCACCCGACATCCCCAGTCCCCTCAAATGGGATGGTCATGGCAACCCAGACCTCTGATCCCTTGGCCCGCAGCTCCTGAGTAACCCCAAGGTGCTTTAAGAGCACTGGATCCAAGACTCCAAGGTGCCACTGACCCCCAGTTGCAGGACTCAAGCCCCTACAACATTGGGATCATTCCTGATCTAAGATCTTGGTCCTCCATACCAGAGACATTCAGATCTGAGATGCCCCAGGACCCTAGCACTCTCAAGCTCCAGATTTGTGTTGCCTCAACCTCCTGTAGTTTGAACCCCAAGATGCCTCTGCACCTGACTCCCCAGCCCCCATTCATGAATCTTCTGAGAATTTGAATCCTGCCATCCACAGGCTTCTGAAGCCCCAGGTTTCCAAATTCTGGTCCCCAGGACCACAGCTCAAGTCGCCAGCAACCCTCAGAATTATCCTATGCGAAAAGCCCTATCATTCTGAACCCAAATTCCTGTATTCCAGAACCCCTGGGACTCCCCACTTCTACCCGAGGGCCCAGCCTTGCCACAGATGATAATATAGGCTATTGGCTGAGCAAAAGCACACAGCTGTGGTGGAACATGCCGAAGGCTGCTGGCCTAGCTGGGCCTTCAGAAGAAGGCCTGCCTTTTTCTTATTTGCACATATCCGCCTTCTGGACTAGCCATGGCTCTGTGGGGACCCCTGTCATCCTGCCCTTGTAGATCCTCCTCCAAGCCCAATCCTGACCGTAACCCTGGTCCAAGTCCATCCCTCCCTTAACCTCTTCCATCTCAGAGGCAGGGGTTGCTTTTGAAAGCCTGTTTTATGGACCTATGAGGCTCCTCTTGGGGAGAGTGGAATGTCCAGGGTACTTAAGATCTAGTGTCCAGCATGAGGGGACCAAGTTCTCACAGCAAGACAGTCTCAGTTATTTTATGGGTTTGGGACCTGCATCTGGCCCCAGGCATTTGGAAATGTGCATTTTACCTTTCTTCATTACCCAGATTTGGATGGCCTTGTGGAGTTCAAGGGATAGATCCTTCTATTGATTCTTTTAAATTATTAACTATTTATTGCATCCGGAACCTGTGAGACTCAGCTCTCCCGACCAGACCCTGGGATGGGTGAGGGGGGAGGTGTCCCTCCCACTTCCACTCTGCCCAGCTCTCATCACTGTCAGACCCACCAGAGCTGAGGGCGGAGGGACTGGGGGCTGGGGCAGCCTGAGTCCCCATCCTCCTCTCTGTGCCTCGGTCTCCCCCCTTCCGTGGTGGGCGGGGGGGAAGCTCCATTCTTAACCTACCTCGTTTTAGGGAGGGGTGGGACAGGGGACCAGAGTGCTGTTAGGTGCTGTGGGACCTTAGGATTAAGTGGTAAGGGCTGGGGAAGGTTCCCCAGCCCCCACCCCCAGCCCCGCCTCTCCCAGGTCTCTCAGTCCTGCTCCCTGCTGATACCCACCTCTGATCCATGATTACCCTTCATGGCCCCCAAATTAGGGGTGCGTGGAGGGCCGCCCTGGGAGCCAGGAAGACCTCAGACCCTGGAACCCCCAGGCCCAATTTCCCAGCTGCTTGCCCCTCAGATTGGATGCTTGGCCCCCAAATTTGGGGGAGACACCTCAACATTTATCTTCCTGATCTTGATTCCAAGCCAGTCTGTGACCTCAATATTGTTAGCATCAGTGCAGGCTGGGAGGATGGGGATCAAAAACCCAGCCTTGTCATCGGGGTAGGGGGGCATGAGATCCGCTCCAAGAAATGTCTGTGACAAAGTCTCAGCCTGTGTTCTTTATTTTCGTGGCCGTGCCTTGTCCACTTGCAAGACTGATGCACCAACCACCCTGCCTCAATTCTCCCTTCCTCTCCACATCCTTTGGTCTCAAGCCAACTACCAGTCATTCAGCAGGTAAATTTCACTGAGCACCTGTTATGTGCCTTGGCGCATATGTAGTAAGCGCTGGGGGTAAAACAGTGAACAGAACAGACAAAAATCCTTTGCACAGGAGTTTATAAACTTTATACTGGGGGAAACATTATTAAGTAGGTGAACTAATCTGTTGGAAATGATGTGTACCATAATGGATGAAAAAAGTGAGAGTGGGGGATTTTTAGCCAGGGTGGCCAGTTTAGGCCTCATGCAGTAGCTGGCATTTGAATAAAGCCATGAAGGAAGTAAAGGGTCCATACCTGTCTGTAGGGAAAAGCATTCCAAGTAAAGGGAACAGCCAGTGCAAGGTCGCAAGGTAGTATGTCTGGTAAGTCTGAGGAACAGTGAGGGAGCCAGAGCATCTGGGAGGGAGAAAGGAGGTGATGGGTGCAGAGAGGTGACAGGACAGACCTGTGGGGCCTTGCAGTCATTGTACAAACTGGCTTTTACCCTGAGTGAGGTGGGGCCACGGGAAGTCTCCAAGCTGCGAGGGATCTGACCTGACTCACAGGTTCAAGAGCCACCAAACACACACCTGGAGGGGGAGCCAGGTGGTAATGAGAAGGCTGCTGTGACTGTCTAGGGAAAGACAATGGTGGGTGAGACCAGGTGAGGGCAGTGGAGTGGAGAGAAGAGCGTGGTACTGGATCTACAAGGGCTGATCGAAAAATACGGTCGATGTTTACATTTAAAAAAAATTGATTACAGTTTCCAGGGGTTTGGCTCAGTCGTTCCATCACCTGCCTTGCAAGCGCAAGGGCCTGAGTTCAACCCACGATACAAAAAAAAAAAAAAAAAAAAAAAAAAAAAAAGAAAAATTCATTACAGTAAATGACAAATTGGCAAATTGGCATTAGTACCTTTCAAAAATTGACTACTCATTTTGAACACATTTATCCCATTGCTTTTGTCACTTTCCGAAGCAGTTTTGTAAGTCATCTTTCAAAAGCGTCTTTATGAGATGTGATAAAAAATACAGTGAATGCTGTTGCCAAGTGCCATCCAACAAACTCATAAAACATTACAATGTATTCTCAATCCACCTTATTCACCAGACCCGGCACCTTGTGACTTCTGGCTCTTCCCCAAAGTCAAAAATGACATAAAAGGTAAACATTTATTTTTAATCAATTCAAGATCTAGGCAGCTATAACAGTGCAACTAAAGTCATTCAAGAAAAAGAACTAGAACTAATTCAGAAAGTGGCAAGAATAGGGCTGGAGATTTTGCTCAGTGACACTGTGCCTGCCTCCCAAGCACAAGGTCCCAAGTTGGATCCTCAGTAACACACACACACACACACACACACACACACACCACACGTGGCAAGAACAGTGGGATAAGTGTTTTCAAAGCAAGGGGGAGTATTTTGAAGGAGATCCGTGGTAATGTGTCTTTCACTATAATAAAATTTAAAAATGTAAGCATACACGTTTTCGTGTGTGTGTGTGTGTGTGTGTGTGTGTGTGTGTGTGATTGAATATCAAATGCAGGGCCCTTGGGCTGAGCTATATCCTCAAGTCCTTATTTATTTTTTGAGGTAAGGTCTCCTGTAAATCACAAGTTGCCCAGGCTGCATTTGAACTTTCAAGCCTGCTGTCCAGTGCCAAACTACTAGCACTTACAGGGGTGCACCACCATGCTCAGGTTAAGCAGCCTTTTGTACCAGGATTGAACTCAGGACCTTGCGCTTGTGAGGCAGGCGGCAGAACCGCAGAGCTAAATCCCAGGCCCAGGTTAAGCAACTTTTAACGTTTGATTTAGGTCGATAAATGTCCACAAGAGTGTCCTGATTTGGGGTAGGCAGGGCTATGGAGACACCAGATTAAGATCAGGCTCTGTTCCTGATAAATAAATTCTGGCCCTTTTTTCTTCCCGATTTCCTGAGGCTCCCAGCCCACTCCTACTCCCAGCGGAATGAGAATAATCAAGAAGATACAAGCCTTGGAATAATGATTTATAATAATAGCAACAGTCAGTGGCAGTAGTAACTAGGCTCAGTGGTTAAAAAGTATGGAATTTGGATGTAATCGTGTCCTGGCAGTATCATGAACTTCCTCTGTAAAGCAGAGATAAGAATTAACCCAGTGGCAGACATTAAATGCTCAGTATGTTAGTTGTTTTTCTTGCACACACCCTATGTGCCTGTTAAGCATTTTTTAAATGCAGGAACTAATCAATCTTCACCAACAAGTCTAAGAGTAGGTACTATTATTCCCCCTTGTGTACAGATGGGAAGAAATTTGGCAGGAGCTGGTGAGTGGAGTCAAACCCTAACCCTGTCTGTCCGCTGCTTCCTGTTTGGGATGGTGTATCGCCCCTGCTCCCTTCCTCCAAGACCTAGAGACGCAGAGGGGTGAAGGCTAAAAGGGCACGTTGTAATCCAATAACGAGGTGAGCGGTGAGCCAGGATTCTTGGGTCTCTAACATAACTCCAACTGTAAAGCAGAAAAGGAAGAGGCAAATTTCCGCGTTTGGGACAAAGTTGGGGGAACAAAATTTGGTCTGGGGTGCTTTAAAAGCAGAAGGCAACTGGGCTGCGGTTTAGCTCAGTGGCATCGCTCCTGCCTCGCAAGTGCAAGGTTCTGAGTTAGATACCCGGTACCAAAAAAAAAAGCAGAGGGCAACTGAGAGAGGCTGAGGAAAGACGGTGCTTTTTTGTGCTAGTCTGGTCGCCAAGTGCCGGGACTCCCCCACACGCTGAGGAATTATAACAGGTTATGTGAAGGACGGCACTCGCGGACCAGAAGGGCGCGCGCTCCGCCTCCCCTTGCGCCAACTGAAGGGCCGAAGTTCGACCGCGGGGCGACGCTGATTGGTCGGGGCCGCTACAGCGCGCGGCGGGTGTGGTCATGGGGCGGAGCCTGCCG